AAGTAAAGCATTTGACATAGCAATTTATCATGCTCAGCATCAGATATGATTGAACAGCCAGAAATAGAAACAACTAAGACTATTCTTCTATTCTTATTATTCTCAAAGAGAGGAAGGGCACTGTGGTAGAATGCACTTTTGTTCATTAAAAAAAGATGCTGCTCAGTCAGGGGTTTTGAAGCATCCTAATACCACAAACTTCTTCCAGTCAGAGCTCTTCCATACGGTACTGCGCATAATACCGGCATGTTATTGACATGTTTCTCTCTCATCTTTTATCTTTTTACGTTTTGAGAATTTCTCCATTGTGAGATCAATAAAAGTTTTCTTATCTTATGGAATCATCATCTGTGGAAGGGGCGAAGGCGCCTGTGTGCACTGGGAGTTTGGTAGTGGGCAAAGGCAACCGATCCTTGGCTACAGTGATTGCTTTTAGGAATGTGGCAAGTCACCTCTCTGGCAGGGATGAAGTCTAAGATGATGCGTGCGGTTGAGAATTTCCAACTTGATAAAACTGGCTCACCTCACCACACAACTTGCTCTTTACCAGTTCTCTTGAGAAGGGATGGACTCTCTTCCACTCTGGAGTTTCCCCCGGTGAGAGGCTACAAGCAGATGAACTTTAAGCCCCCAACCTCGGCATCTCTACTTTGGGGTTAATAGACTTACGTCGTTGTGATGTATCATCAATAATGAACACGCTGTTGAACTGTAAGGGTATCCTGATGTTGTACTTGGCACTAAGACAACCTTGGTCATTTTTTGATAATCGAATGGACGGATGGATGGACAGTACTAAATTGCTATGACAGTATTGCGATTTGGAGGAAAAAGTGACATGATACTTGTATGTGCATGTTTTGAGCCCAAACATGAACGACATAGGAAGCAAGAGCAGCATGTCCGCAAAAGGTACAAATACAAACCACCTTTACTGTAGAGTAAAAGTCTTGTGGCTTACAGGAAGGCAAAACGAGGCACGTCTCTGCTCATGATGTGACTCAAAAGCAAACTTTGCTTCAGTGCTCCATATGAAGAAAAATAAATAACTAATATAGTTATAGATTGCTGCAATTCTTCAATAACAGGCGGGAAAGCCATTGAGTGTAGACCGATATATATTTTTATTTAAACAGACGTGTGACTAACCACAGCTCCGACTGCCCTGCGGTCGAAGTCGACATTCATCCATACAAAGGGCACACCGCATTACAAGGCGCACAGTTGATTTTGGAGAAAAATGAAAGGATTTCCAAGTGCGCCTTTTGTTTCAAAAACCTTTGTTTGCTTTGGAATTTCTCACTAGCTTTGATGAGAAAAAAATGCTGTCTGATAAGGGATTATTTTAGCTGGTAAATAATACTTAAATGCTATGTGCTTGATAAGGAAAATCGAGATTTAGAATGCATTCAACCAATTGCTACTTTTGTAATTAATCTAACTTGGCTGTTTGGATTTGTAATGAGCCAATCAGGTTTAACTTTACTTAATACTTCATCAGTCGTTGGATGATACTATGCATTGTTTCTCCTCCCATGTACATATTTCCATTTTTAATGTTATTATTGGCTAGCAAGACCCATCTATTCAGCATACACTGAAACCTGGCATTGATGTTTTTCACCATTTGATTTTTTTTTTTTTTCCTGTAGAAGTAGATTTAAAAACTCTGCTGAAAACCTCACCTATTCACACTGAGTTGCATATTTTCAATCTTGTTCTTATTTTTTCTTATCAGTGACATCACAAGTTGCCATCAAATTGCCCTGTTCCTCTCAGGCGCCACATGAGTGAAAGAATAGCAAGCCTTGGCAAGCAGCTCGTTCGATTAGGTCTTTTGTAATTAGATAGATGACTTGAGCTAGACCGTTGCGTCGCTGTGACCTTTGTCCTTGCTCGGCCTTCCTTATCTATGGCACTCTTGGCACACATACTAGTTGAATCCCATTAAGACCGTGTTGTCACACATTGTCACACTGGCAAGGCAAAGCTGGCAACTCAACTAGCCCACCAATCAAATGAGCACCCAAGACAAATTAATAGTTGGAACTGTACAGATAAGACCTTCTTCCGCACCGGCTAGACCAGTGGTGTCAAACTTATTTCACATTGTGGGCCGCATACGGCCTCGGTAGATGTCAAGTGGGCCGGGCCATTAAAATTATAGCATACTCTGCTATAAATAACCAAAATATCATATTTCCTTTGTTTTGGTATAGTGAAGCACAAGAACATTAGGAAAATGTTGAAATTGAATGAACATGTCTTTTACAAAACATTTCCTAGACAAATGTGCAATTTACTTTGATCATTCACATATATGCATTATAACAATCCCATTGATGGTACAAAGGCACAAAACTTTAACAAGTAATTGGTATTGAAAAATATAGTAATATATTTTAAGATTAAACGCAATTTATAAAGAAAGGATTTTTAAACCATTTACATATGTGTTTATATAAAATCTAAATTTAATCCCTGCCTACACTTTACAAACTAAGGAGAAAAAAGTGAATTGCATCTTATTAAAAATATCCATTCTGTGTTTTTTTTCCCTGGCATTTTTTCACTATTAAATTATCCTGTGGGCCTGATCAAACTCCTCGGGGAGCGGTTGCAGCCCGCGGGCCGTATGTTTAACACCTCTGCACTACACTAAGGCTCCACAGACATGACTCGATCTTTCTGGCAATTATTAAATAGTTCAATCGAAAATATACAGTCTTGTGGAAGTTACTGTTTGTGTAGCGAGCATTACAGATAAAAGACAGACTAACAGGCAAAAATTCTCCTAGAACTGTGCATGCTGAAGCAGCCTGCATGCAACAGAGAATACTGTGGTTCTCTACTGACAGTGGTAGAAATTTAACAACGGATTAACTGGTAATAGCTAGCTGTAGTTAAAAAAAATGTGAGTATTCTATGTATCCCTGTGTCAAAAACACCAGTGTTCTACCATGTATGGTTCTTTGTTGCTGTTGTTGTTGTTGTTGTTGTTTTGTTTTTTTTTTAAATAATCAGAAGGCTATTTTTCTTTTTTAGGGTAATGTTGGAGGGTAGCTTAGAAATTAAAATGTTTTGGGATCATGGTTCAGGGTTAAAAAAAATTATATTTGGATGATAAAGGCGCTTCAATTACTCATACATTTTGTTGCAGCTTCAAAACGAAGCCTTGGCACGAATAGCATGGTTCCCTGCATACTCATAGGTGATTTTCACATAATCTCTGTAGTGACTCACATAAGTGGTTTTCATGCTGTGCAAAACCTCTATCATGAAAGCAAGTCAAAATTCTCTCAACAGACATGTTTCCATTCCATTGCACTCAGAATGTTTTTCTCCTCCATTTACTTTTAGAGAAGGAACTCACTGCAGTGCCGATTAATCAGAGGAATTTAATTAACTTGGCCCCAACACACACATCAAACTAGCAGACAAGACAGGCTATAAACTCAGCCAATTATCTCTCGCAAGAGCTAAGGGGTGATGTCCTGGAATAGGCTGGTTAGGGTGTAGGGTTCAATAATCAGACTTGGAAAATGTTTACTTCGACCAAACATGTTCAACAGTTCGAATACTCGAGCTGTATCAAAATGCCAGTGGTCCTCTCAGTGGTCTTTAACTTCCTCACACTCAGATTTGCACAGGACTGAGGGGGCTATTTTGGACAAGCACTAAAAGAAAAGAAAATACCAGTAAAATCAGATTTTAAGATAGATGGTGTATGTGACTGTTTGGGACTTTGATGAATAGAATGTAAATTGATTTTTTATTTATGTATTTATTTTGCAACCATATTCTCTTTCTGACAATTTGTGACTCATGAGACAATCTGAAAGTGACGAGAGCCCCTCAGTTTCTGAAAAAGTATGGCAAGAAGTAAAGCTGCTCAAAAAAGCCTTGACAATTGCCGTCAATGACAAATGCAGTCAATGACTGTTTCTGTAACTCAAGCAAATTCTCCACATCTTCCTTTGTTATATCGAAGGACTGTTTAATATGGATGCTAGGTCACCAACTGTGATAATCTGTTCCTCAGTGTGGTCACAGTGGACTGAAGCCCATTTGAATCCAATCGACTTAGTGTGAGAGGCAGGGTAAACCTTGGACTAGTTGCCAGTCGAATACAGGGCACATATGGGAACTCAACCATTCTCACACTGACAGTCACACCTAATAATTTAAGAGGGATATTTCGGGGGATGTGGAGAAAACCCTTGCTTTTTTTTTTTTTGTTGCACTTTTTGTGTGCATGAATGTGTGAGTGACGATGTGACTGTGTGAGACCGAGAGAGAGGTTGCTTTCCAGCTGACTTTACAGGTACATCACCAGCCAAATTAGAAGCAAGCCAAAAAAAAAAAAAAAAAAAACACAGACCGACACAGCCGTTAACAACTCTCTCTTATCACATGCACGACGTACATTACGAAACAGGTTTTAACTCACTTTCAATATCATGCAAAACGAAAACGTAGGTTGACTGGTTAGCCTGTCCACCTCACAGTGGAGAGGTGAAGGGTTCGATTCTGGCCCCGGCCTTCCTGTGTGGAGTTCTCCTCGTGCCTGTGTGGGTTTTCTCCGGGTACTCCGGTTTCCTCCCATATTCCCAAAACATGCATGGCAGGTTGATTGAACACTAAATTGTCCCTACGTGTGAGTGAATGGTTGTTCGTCGATGTGTGCTCTGCGATTGGCTGGCAACCAGTTCAGGGTGTACACCACCTGCTTCTTGTAAACAGCTGGGATAGGCTCCAGCACGCCTGCGACCCTTGTGAAGATAAGCGGATGAGAAAATAGATGAACGGATGGATGTTACGTGAGGTTAAAGACCAAATCTTATAGATTGACAATCTGACTACAGGCTCTTGAAGTGTCTGCAGTCATAGATGAAAACAGAACACAATCTTTGTATTCCGTGTGCTGCCATTTTGAAATCGTTCACTGTGACACAAATTGACACATAATACATGTTCTGTGTTCTCTTACTTTTTTTCAGAACATGGATAAGACACAGCTCCCATCCGTGACACTGATTGTGGGATGTGGAGTGTCTTCTCTGACATTGTTGCTACTCATCATCATCTACGTGTCGGTCTGGAGGTGAGAAAATACATCTTATAAATAAGGACGCACTGTACATCGGCCTTATAATTATAGGTTAAATATTGGAGAAAAAAATGACATCACTTTTATCGGTCCGATGCAAAAATTAGGCCTGTTCTTTTTGTACTATTTAATGGCTTTTGTTTTAACTTATAAAAGATGTATAAAACACGACTGGGGATGTTAACAAAACGGGATTGAGTTTATTAATAGGTACTACATGCATCAGAGCTTTTGAGTTTGCTCATCACCTCACCAACACAAGTGAAGAGAGTTCTGAAAGTAGGAAAACGTGACTGCACGTTGTCGCTGACAACATTTTTATATCATCCTCTGCCCGCACTACATGTAGAGGCCGGATTGAAATGTTTTACTCTCTCTCTCTCTCTCTCTCTCTCTTTCTCTACATAGGTTATCAGTATCGGCCATAAACCTTGTTATATTTTAAATTGCAAATATTCATTTTCAACTTTTGTTTAATTGAAATTTGCTCAATTTTGGATCGTGGCACTCGCAAGTATGCGAATCTGCAAGAATGTGACATGTATCACCTCATTCCTGCCTGCTTTATTTGCGAAGAAACCATACGGTTAAATAATCAACAATGACAAGCTACATATTCGATACATTTTGTGCAAAAGCTACATAATAAACAATGATCATAAGCATCATCGTCTACATGGACTTATCGGGTTGTGAGCTGATCCGAATCCCTCTTTCACACCAACAAGATGATGTCCAATGCTTATAATCCTCGCTGTACTTCCTCCTCTGATGACAGCCGCCTGTTTCTGTCTCAGTCATAGTGTAAACACGATCCAATGTATAAATCAATCATCCTCAATAGTTTGTTTGTTGCCGCTGTTCAATGGCACACCGCGTTGGATGGCAACATGCTACTGTAGTTTTGTCGTTTCTTCCGGTCTGCAGTTGAGAATGATTTCTCCTAACATGGCATCCCTATTACATTGGATAATTATTTTTAATTCTTATTCCACAAACACAGCGTTAATCAGTGGAGTGTTTTGACTAGTGCAACGTATTCTTACATAAACATTTTTTTGGTTTAGTTCCCCTTTAACTGCGAGGTACAAAGATGAACACATCAGTTATGCTGGAGTTGTTGGAAAACCTTAAATTGTTGAAAAATTCAAAGGGACATTGATCCATCCCAATTCTGTAGAAGGAAAAAAAATCGTTCTCAATCGTTTTTTTTTTTTTTTCTTTTCAAAACCATAGGTGACACTTAAATTCTCTTACCCTATGAGCAAAATGGAATAAATGAAATTGCGAAAAAGTATTTGCACAGTATTGAATGGACAAGAGAGTCATCATTTGGACTCACAGTGAATAGGAATGAGTAACATTTTGGATGAATATGTAACACCACACACTGCATATTCTTGACCCAAGTTGTAATAGAAATCAGTCAGAACCACTTTTTTTTGTCCTCTGATTTTCCTGCAGATATATTCGGTCTGAAAGATCAGTCATTCTTATCAACTTCTGCCTCTCAATCATTTCTTCCAATGCCCTTATTCTCATTGGACAGACCCAAACAAGAAATAAGGTAAGAATGTTGTTGGGGTTTTTTTTTCTTCATTTTAAATCAAGAAAAATTGCACAGTATTGTATGATCACAGCGAAACAAACCCTATGTTTTTATTCCCTGCTGTCCCAGGTCTTATGTACCATAATAGCGGCGTTTCTTCACTTTTTTTTCCTGTCATCATTCTGTTGGGTCCTGACGGAGGCATGGCAGTCATACATGGCAGTGACGGGTCGTCTAAGGAATCGCATAATACGCAAGCGTTTTCTCTGTCTTGGCTGGGGTCAGTTTTTTCTTATCTCGCTTCCATCCATGTTTCCATTTTAATAGTTTTGCTAATCTTTTGCATCCTAATATTCCATTTGTCTATTCTAGGACTCCCCGCCCTTGTTGTTGCAATCTCAGTGGGCTTTACCAAGGCAAAAGGCTATGGAACACCGAGCTAGTAAGAATGGTTTTCTGTAGATGATCTATTGTGTGCGGTATAATTTGTCCTCTTTTGGGGCAATATTCAGTATAGTTTCACGTTTCTATTACTTTCTCATCTAGTATATATTTTACTTCACACATTGGTTTCATCTAACCCATTTCTTTCACTGACTGCCTCTATTTTTAATCTTGCCATGTGTTTCCCACTTTGTACTTCTTTCCGCTTCCATCACTCCATTGTTGATAATTTTGTGAATGATGAAGAGCATTAATAGAACAGTTATTCTGCACCCAAAAATGAGTTGTTTATTCCCTCAGTAGCAGCGAGGCTGATATTTACAGGGCTATTTGCGATTCCTGTAATTCCCCATTTTTCACAATAAACTTCCCAACTTTAAATTCTACATATTTATATCCTACTTCCATGTTTCTTGAGTCATTCAAAACATCCCAACTGCAATATGTTCAATATGTGCAATATTACAGGTAATCCAACAACAATTCACTTCTGGGTCAGTTCTTCGGTGTTAGCACACAATTTCTGCAAAAATTGCCTTGCATCCTCTCGTTGTATGTGATACTATGCATGTTTGCTTGCTCCTTTCCTGTAGCTGCTGGTTGTCTCTGGAAGGAGGTCTTCTCTATGCATTTGTTGGACCAGCTGCTGCTGTTGTCTTGGTATTCTTTCTTCTCTCACTCTCTCTGTGCTGTTAGCTTTTAACCACATTTGCATCAAATTACCTCAAAAACTCAAGCCTTGCACTATATTGTAACTCATCATGTACTGTAACTTTGCAATTTGTAGTTAGATTGTCACAATGTCCGAGGGGTTGAATTGACTCGTCGATGTGTTGGCTTAACCACCCCGCAATGACAGTTACAGCTTGACTAACTAAATGCCAATCAAGTGTTTTGGCATTAAAGCAGGGACGCCTCGCTGAAAGCAACACGTGGTGGTTAACTAGCAGCTTAGCCAGGGTTGGGGGCGGACCTAAACTCAAAGCACATTTTAGGTAGCAGGCTGAGCACAACCCCCACCCCCCCAAAAAAAAGTTTTATAACATAAATTTGAGTTGAAACAGACAGCACAGAATAATGTTCTAAAATAAATCAAGTTGAACTTAACGTGTTTGCCGTGCTTCAAGATATGGTAAAAGTCTATAAATTCAAAAATATGCTGCAGGAAAAAATAAACAAGAAAAAGTACCAGTAGTAGTTAAAATGACAAAAGAAACCAAAATATTAAATTTGCTTTGCACCTAAGCTATTTTGTCAGAGCTTGACACGCGACATCTTAGATTCTCAGGATGGACTTCAAGTGTTCATCAGTGAGATAACTCCTATTTGATGAGAAAAGTTGCCCTGGTGTATCATTTGTGTCACGTTTGTGCTACCAAAGATTGTTGAAGTTGTTTTACCGAGGAATATTGAGTTTCAATGAATTAATCATATGTCTCCACTTCTTATTGGGTATGTGATCTTTGGCTTATGTCACTAACATTTAAAAAAAATACAGGCAATTAAGCTCCTACAGTGAGTGTAACCTAATGTAGTTTGATTATTTATTTGCATTATGCCAATCGTCAGACATGATCGGAGTATAGCTGCATGCTGTCCTAATATGTACTGTGTAAAATATGTATAATATGTATTAATTGTATGCCTCTTCTTTTGGCAGGTTAACATGGTTATTGGGATTCTCGTATTTAACAAACTGGTGTCCAAAGACGGCATTACTGATATGAAACTAAAGGAGAGGGCGGGGTATGCCTTATACCATACTTTTACACTGTCACCTTTAACCAGTCTGGTAGTGTAGCTCACGGAGGGAATCACTGGGCCTGATTCATCAATATGTTCTGCAGAATTACATTTGCTCTTAAAAAAAAAGGTTCTTGAACTAGTCTAAGTCGGATTTATGAAGAGTTCTTGAACTTCACTTTGAACAACATTTAAATGAAGTATTTTGAATCCTATAGTATGATACAATAGAATGCGTGAAACACATATTCAATTGTGAACCACTAAAATCTGTGGAAATATTTTGTGGAGTGTTCTTCAGAAAATTTACATTGGTTTACATGACCTTTTTATTAAAAAGCGCAAATGTGTTCTCAAAATGGTTGGTGAATGAAGCCGCTTTTCTTTGGGTCAAACATTTCAAATTGATTCCAAAATGATCCTTAATTGTTGGACTGGAAATACATTAACAAATGGAATTTCAGTCATTTATGATGTATCATGAGAGACCACCAAAGTATAATGTTTAAGAAAGGAAAGCTCAAGACATGAGAAGTTCCATCTGGTTATCGGTACTGCTATAAAGATGGTGATTCATCCCACTGCTTTAAAAGTATCCAACTGTTCTTTGTATTGTTCTGTGGTAATAATATTCATTAATTCCATCTCGTCTTTTTCTCTTTGGTTGTTTCTCGTAAGGGTAAGCAGGGCTTCACAAGAACATTGAAAGAAAATTCCAACGTGTCACAGTTTAGAATGTGGGCGAGATGTAATTACATTATTCCCCACCATATCAGTACAATGATAAAAAAATAAAAAATAAATACTGACACAACGAGGCAAGAGAGAACAACAGACTCATAAACAACATACAGTAGCTGTTGATTTAAAATGTCAGTCGGCTTGTTGAAGGGTCCCGACACGTATCATCTTGGCTGAAGAATCATATGAACACGGACATCATCCACATCTCAGAAATTACCCTATTATTTCTATACGTGCGCGCATAAATACATACATACATACATTTGACATGATTACCGCTGGTGTCGAGCCGAAACCCTCTCTGTGACAATTTGGTATAGTTCATGCAGTCTTTTTTTCACAAAACTATGCTATTGGTCAGTCCACAGGTGTAGCTGTTATTTTTTTACAAATTATTGACCAATTTCGAGTGTTGAAAATGGCTTTTTCTCTTTGACGTTGCCACATTATTGGTTGGACAAAGATGACATTTTGCAGTTCTCCTGGAAAGTGATGATTTTGGAGGTACAAAGATTCAGCCCGATGCCAGCGATATGTCTTAATACGTCTCAAAAATGTGCACACTGCACTCCAACTGAAATGGTGAAGAAAAAAAAAACATACTGAATTTGATGAGTTGAAAACCGAGTGGGCAATTGTAATAGTTAGACATGTAGTCACAAATACTCCTTTGGGACTACATTTGAATAATTTCACTTCTAACCAACCAGCAAAACCGTGCAGCCTGCTCTCCTTTACATGGCAGCCTATTCTGTCCACTGGTGCATTGTTGGCCCATTCAAATACTTTTCTTCAGTGATCTTTTTGTTTACCTGCATCTGTTTTTGCCGTCTGAAATGTCATTTTTGAGTTTGCACAGAATCCCCTCTCTCTCACTCAGGGCTCCTCACTCAAGAACCTATCAGCCTCAGAAGCCCCTTCCCATGCTATCAATGACTGGGTAATCTTTTCGATGCCCCTCCCATTCTCTTCGAAGAATCTCGGTTCTAGCCTTGCCCATTACCACATCTGCTAAATCCTATTGCAAACATCCGAAGTTTTCATAATATTGGCCTTCCTGCCTCCATTTCATGTAATTCATCCTATCCCGTGTTAGCTGTGTAGAACATAACTCGTCTGTCTGTAGTCCTTGTAGACAAGCCTTGGCTACTAAATTTGCAGCGCCAGCTATGGTTGAGCTGCATATTAAAAATCTGAAATATAATTTGATGGCTACATCCATTAAAAAAAAAAAAAGAAAAGAAAAAGAAAAACACCTGCTGTGTTGATGGTCAATTGGTTGCAATTACTGCTTTGTCATTACACAAGTGGGTAATGTTTAAGAGTTGCTCAACAACTATTTTCTGATGCAAGGCTCCAGTTCAACTTTTTCCCCCCCAAATAAAAATTGTAGTCATACAAGCAGACACTTTGGGGGCATACACTCTAAATTGACTTGCAAACTAAATATTCACATTTCCTCTCATTATATTACCAATAAATACTTTGAAGGTAAATGTTGAAACTGGGTTAACTGTGACATAGAGGTGGGACAGTATTTGTAATTTAGGGTACGGTCCGTACTTAGATTTTTGGACAAAAGTTTGATACATTTATGGTACGTGTTTTGTGTGTAAAGTGACCAGACCTCACATCGTGGACCATGGAAAAGGGCTGCACGCTTTAGTGTTGTTCTCCTTTCTTCTTCTTTTAGAGTTACTATCGGTAGGTACACCTGCTCACTTGTGTGTTATCGCCAACAGTTGGGTTGAAGTGTGAAGCAGAAGTTTGCCAGCAACAAAAATTACACTGGTCTCCATAAAAAAAAACACGGATGACAGAAGAGTTTTTTTTGTTTTTGTTTTTTGAATTCACCTGGTTTAGAGGTCATGAGACAGTGATTCATTCTGCAATGTTGGTCAGTATTGCACATTGTTACTTGCTTTGCACACCATGTTTATGTCACAGTCCAATGAGCAATTTGTAACTTAACACATTTGAGTGAAAGAATGGGCCGTGTTGCCAACTCACATTTGGCCCTTCAGGGCCGCAGTACTTTTTTCTGCTTTCAATGCTCCTTATTATCAGTGATTTTTAGTGGGTGCTGAGATGAAATAGCCATGGGTATCCATTGGGTCTGTCTACCCCAAGAGTCACATTTCGGCCTTGTTTTATTAAGATCCAAAATAGCGGTATGTTAATTCTGAAAGATTGCATGCACTTTTGGTGGGAGTGTTGCAGATAACCATCTTTCACTTAGATTCCATATAGTGGGCGTTAAATTGAATGCTCACCCACTCTTTAAAGATTGCACATGTGGGCTAGAGGCCTGAAAGTGATAGAGATTGCCATATTAACGTCTTTCGCACTTTGTGAAAGCGCTATATCAATAAAAATGTAATGTATTAAGTAAAATAGCTGTTTGGAAATGTTTTTTTTTTTTCCCATGGAAATTTGTGAGAGCCGTGCAAGTGAAGCATTAAGTTTGACCTGATGACGTTGAAAATGTTAGTGGAAGAGAAAAGAAAACCACATACTGAAATCCAAAAAATAAATGTATCATTCCAAAAAATTAGAGGAAGCCTGCAGCCACATGAAAACCATTTCTGTTGTATGATTTCAAGTAAATTTGCTCGAGTTCTGGGCAGTTGGTATCTGCCCGTCTTGCGTAACATTGCAATTAAAGATTGGGACAGCACTTCCGAAAAACTGCCCTGAGAGATTCCAGCACCAATTGTCACTGTGTGCCTAAATGACCAAGATGCCAGGAAATGCAGTTTTGAAACTAGTTTTCTGACCGGTGATAGGGCTTGACCCCTTCTTGTGACTGAGTTCAAGTCGGCTTTAAATAGTTCACAAGCTCCCAAATTGCATTTGAATAGAACATACGTCAACAAATGTTTACCTGAGCAGATAAGTTTTCCCCGCCGCCACTCATTTTGCCTGCACTACATTGGCTCCGCTTTACATGCGGAAATAGAATCACACAACTAATGAACTAATGCGGAAATAGAACCACACAACTAATGAGCTAGTTCACCTCATATCAGTACCTCCAGGATTTGGGGCATGATATGTTTGATTGTTCATGACTAAAATTCCCAAAGTTGGACCTTTGATTGTAAGAAAATCAAATAACAGATCATCACAGGCTCTATGCAAAACTTGGTTGAGGTACCTTTTGCGGCAACGACAGTCTCAAATCGTTTTGAATATGATGCCACAGACCTGGCACGCCTCTCTTTTGGCAGTTTTCCCAATTCCTGATAGTACCATCGCTCAAGTTCCATCAAATTGGATGAGGATCGTCAGCGCACAGCACAGATTCAAGTGTGGACTCTCACTAGCCTACTAAAGGACATTTCAGTGATTTGTCCTGAAGCCACTCTTTGACATATTGACTGAGTGCTTTGGTCTTATTTCAGAATTCTATTTTCTGCTGTTCTCAAACTTGCCCCTCTTAAGACAATCAGATTTAAACATTGTCTGGATCCCTGGTTCAGTCCTCATTCATCTAAGCGTATCCATCAGAAACACCGACTGAGGCAAAAAACTAAGACCTCACAAGAAACCCATGGACCCAGGAATAGATACTCAGGCTGTAAGTCAGGTATAAACTGGTTACTTTAAACAGTTGCACTTCAGAAACACTGCAAATCATAAAATATTTTGGAACACCATCAAGGTCCAACATTACCTCCCCTCTGTCGTGAAATCCGTCACAAACAAACCTAAGATGGTTTGTGGCTTCAACAAACACTTTGTCAAGGCCGTGGGTGTGCCTATAATAATTCTACATCTCGTGTTACCGATTCTCCAGTCGTCAAAGGATCTGCAACTCATTCATACCCTTCAAGACACTCCCCTTTCTTCCTTCAGCCTTAACAAGACTCTGATGTACTGCCTGAGCTGCTTAACGTGGACATACACCTCTAGGCCTCAAGTGGATGTGCTATGAACAACAGAATATCATGCTGCTGTTTTTTGTAGTCTGTCAAAGGAATTTGATTCCATTAATCAAGGAATTTTATTGCCATACCAACATTACCACATGATACAGCATGAAATAGGATAAGGTTTCAACGTGTGGGGATGAAAGAAGGGGGTGGTCTAATATCGGAGCTTCAGAGCACTGTTTGAATTCAACAATCTTACAGCTTGCCGAACGTATTCCTCAGCCTAGTGATACTGCTCTGGATGTGTCAGAGCCTCCTGTCTGAGGACAGGAATGGTAGAGGGTGTTTGCAGGGTGGGTTGAGTCCTTGATTATGCAGAGCGCC